TACTAATTTTTAAACTACCAATAAAGATACGAGCAAGGCCTCACCTTAATACCAAAAAAAAAAAAAAAAAAAAAAAACATATTATTCCAGTCTTTATAAACTTTTAATAATTTTTTGTTTAATATTTTATTATTAATTAGATTATTCAAAACAAATATTATAATTTTTATAAGACTACAATATTTATTAGCTATAAATCTAGCAATTAATTAAATTCTATTCTTAAATATTTTAAGTTCTGGATATTTTGGAATATCTGCTAATCTTTTATCTATTTTATTTATTATTGAGTTCCATATAGATCTTTCAAAAGATTGCAAGTAAATGTAATATAATAATTAAATAATTCTAAATCTAAATGATTTATTCTATTAATTACTATAGCTTTATATACATTGATATTACTAAAATTAATAAATATATTAAATTATTTATTAGTATTTAATAATATTACAAACTTAGATAAATTTTGCAGCATTTTGAAATATTGCAAAATATTTTAAAAAGATTTGCATGATTTAAAATATTCACAATTATTTAAAATATTTTAAATTTATTTAAATTTATTTGCATATATTCATATATATTTACAATATATTATAATTTAGTATTTTAAAATTCTTTTTAATATTTTAAATTATTTTAAAATGTTTTAATCTATTATAATATTATACTTACTTAAATTTCCAAAAAATATTTTGTACTGATTTAATGCAAACTGTATTTTCTTCATACATATTATAATAATTTAGTATATTTTTATGATTTTTAAGTTTTAAATCATATTTAATAAGTTTTAAATTAGCTAAATTTTTTCTATTAACTAAATAAAAATAACAAGAATAGTTAGAGCTTGCTAATTTGTATGTTAGACAAAATGTTGCAGCTTCTAGCCAATCTGCAATAATTGTTAAAAATTTTGAAAAGAACTATATATATTTGTTGTTAATTAACAAATTAATTTCAGCTTCTGAATATAATTAAATAGGTCTAAGATTATTTTTAGACAATTATAAAAAGTTTGTTTAGCTTTTTGTTTAGTTATACCAAAGATTGATTTTATTATTGGCAAGTAACCTAATAATTGCATTGCATTTTGCTTATTTCTGTGCCAAGTAGATATATTTCCAAGTAACAAATATATTAGATAAAGCTAACTTTTACCCAATATATCACAATTGGTAATATCTGAATACAAAATAATTAACAAAATTTTTGAGCTTAAAGATAAAGTATTTTGAGTAGTTTTCTACTACATTTTATTATTTTGCTTTTTATAAATATTTTTTTTATAATTTTTTAAATAAAACTAATTAATAAAAACAAAATAAATATTTTAATAAATAATATTAAAAAATATATTTATTTTAGTAGTTTTATATAATTTTTCATATTCAAGAATGAAATTTTTTGATATATTAAAAACTTCTAATCTTTTTTTAATACAACTAATTAATAGCATATAGTATAAGAAATACTTAGTATTATTATAATCTAATATTTCAGTTTTTATATATAACAAATTAGATTTTATATTATTATTATTATTATTATTATTTTTTATAAGCAGTCATGCTAGTGCTTTATTAAGATTTTTGAAACTACTACTGTAATTACATAAATTTATCTAACAACTAAGCCTAGCATCACCTAGCTATCCTAATAACACCTAAGAGCAACCTGCTACATTACTTCTAGCAGAAGTAAACTGCTTGTCTAACTACTTAAAGTTCATAATAAAAGGGTCTTCTTCTTTTTATAACAAGCTTGTTAATTGTCTTCCTAACTTTTTTTTTATTCACCCTTCTTTTTCTTTTGTTTTCTTTTTTCTTTCTTTTATTGCTTGCTGATTAGCCTTTCTTCTTCTTTTTATACTTGACTTTTTTTTTCCTTTAGTTTTTTTTTTTTCTTTTTACTCATTATTTCTCTTTTTTTTTCCTATATGTTGACCTTTTCGTAGCAGATTCTTCAGACTTGTTCATAGAATATATTTCATGTTGTTTTTGCTACTATGTTTGTAAACTGTTGTCTTGTTTTTATATTTAAAATTTGAGATAACCTGTTTTGTGTTGTTCTTAGAATTAGACCTTTGATTAGTGCTTTCTTTATTTCTATTTTTTCTTACTCTGTTTGTTCAAAAAGTATTATATATAATACTTAAGATAGGACTCGTATCTTTTCTTCTTCTTTTAAACTATTTCATGTCATTGTAATAGATACTTTTTGTATCCTTTTTTATAGATTTGCTTGTCTATTACATAATGACAAATGTTCTTGTGTTTCTTTAACTTTGCTTTGACAAACTTGGCATTCTGCTATTGTATATATATCTGGCCTTCTTTTATTAAGTTTTTTCAATATCAGAAGCTTGTTCAATATACATTTTATAAAAGCACTTCTTCTTGTACTGCTTCTTCTTGTTAGGCAGTATACTTCTTTAGATGAATTTAGCCTTCTCTAAAAGTATATCCAATTGTATATCATTACTTCTGCTTTTAGTTTAATATTCTTGATTACTGTTGTTTTTTTTCACTCTATTCCCAGTCTGGCATTTGTTACTATTTTATATAGAAGTCTTGCAGATATGTCTATTTGCTTGTTTTTCTACTCTAGGCAGTACTCTATCTTTTTATAGCTAACTTCTTCTGAAAAAATTATTTTTCTACTTAATGTTCTCTTTTTCACAAAGCTATTAGCTTTATTATTTCATCTATTTTTGCTATAACTTTTTACTTTGATATATTCTATCTGTATATTCTTTGTTTTTATTATATCTATTATCTTCAATACCCATAATGTATTTTTCTTTTTAAAAACTTTGTTTCTATCTATATACACTAATCCTTTACTAATATTCCTAATTGCTGCATTGCTATCTGTAAATATTACTAATTTTTTCTTTTTTGACATTGTTAAGATTGCTGCCCATATTGCTAGCACCTCAGCTATAGTAGATATAGATCATCCTTTTACTTCTAATGCTACCATATGCCACTGACTATAATACCTGAGGTACTATTCTTTCAACCACTGATTTTATTGAATAGTATCCATCTAGGTACTAATTACAGAGGGTGGGTATAAATACAGGAGGGTACTTTGTAGCAAGGGTACTTTACAATAGGAGTACATTAATTAGTTAATATAGTTCAATATTACTATACTGCGGCATGTAAAGTTTACTTTTAAAGAAATAAAGAATATGGTACTACTAGATAACAGTATGTTTAAATAAGATTTTTTCTTTTTTTATTTACTATATTTCTTTATACTATGGTATGTGGAAATAAGAATCATGGCCAGGCTCGAATTACTTAAAAAAAAAAGGTGACAGTAGAATGTTCGTGAGAAACTTGCAATCATTACATTTCTTGAAAAGCACTCTAGTAATAGTGTTCATGCAACTGCTACACATTTCAATATAGAACCAAAGCAAGTTAGAGATTGGCAAAGTAAAAAAGAAAATTTAATGCATGTTTTATTTCATATTAGAAAGTTAAATAACGAAAGACCACCAAAGTATCCTAAATTAGAAAATGAAATTTATGGTTGGGTAAAAGAATTGTAAAGTGCACTTAAACCTGTAACACAATCAATGGTTCAACTTAAAGCAAAAGTATTATCAAAAAGATCTCCCTATACTACATTATATCCTAATATTTCTGAAGCCAAATTTTCAGATAAATGGGTTGATGGCTTTATGACTTGTCACAAATTAAGTAATAGACATAGAACAATTATAGCCCAAAAACTTTTAGAAGATTTACAACCTGCACTACAGAAATTTTTAAGTTTGATTGTATATCGTAGAATTTAATTTGATTATCTGCTTGCCTTAATAGGTAATATAGATAAGGTTCCTATGTCATTCGATCTTCCCACCAATGTAACAATTGATGATTGTGGTATAAATACGGTTTCATTAAGGACCTCTGGTTATGAAAAATTAAATTTTACTGTTGTGCTTGCTTGTATGGCAGATGAAACTAAACTTCCACCTGTTATTATTTTTAAACTTATAAATGTTCTAAGGCAAACATTTCCTGCAAGTGTAATTATTTGTGTAAATCCTAGTGGATGGATAAATTCAAATGAAATGCTATGATGGATAGAGAATGTATGGAATTATAGAGGAAGGACAGATCTGCACTTACTTTTAGTTTTAGATTCATTTAAAGAACATATAGAAGATATTGTTAAGCATCAATTTTTTGAAAAAAATACTAATTTAGCTATAATTTCAGGAGGTTGTATTTCAAAATTACAACTGTTAGATGTGGCTATAAATAAATTGTTTAAGGCAAAGGTACTTCAATAAATTTATTTATTTATCATTATTATATGAGTTATGCCAAATTAAAACCTGGAACTAAATATTGATATATTTAGTTACAGGTTTTAATTTGGCAAAACTTATATTTAAATAAATAATTTAATAAATTTTATTTTAGATGTGGCATTATTATAATGATTGGCTAGATAATAGTATTTTAACTTATACTAAGACAGGTTGTATTCAACACTCTGCATATAATTTGGTTGCTCAATGGATACTTCAGGCATGGAATAATATTAATCCTAACCTTATACGAAAAGCTTTTAAGTGTTGTGGTATATCTAACTTACGAGATGGCACAAAAGATAGCTTAATTTTGATTATGATAGACTTGGTCAACATACAAACATAACTATATGTATGTGCAAGATGAGTTTGAAAACTCTAGTGAAAGTTCAGGTTCAAATATTGCTAAAGGCTCTAATACAAATATTGTTGAAGGCTCTAATACAAATACTGGTAAAGGCTCTAATACAAATACTAGCGAAAGCTCAAATATAAATATTAGTGAAGGTTTATGAAATATAATTTAGAGTTTATAAGTTATCAATTAATAATATAAAGTTTTTGCCTTGAAAATAGCCTTATAGCATATAGTAATTACTATGTGCCATTAGGTTATCTTCAAGGCAAAAATTCTATATAAATATAGTATTAACTAATTTATAAGTTTTTAATTTAGTAGAGGTAATTAATCTTATGAGTAAAGATAATACTGACAATGAAGCTGAAGCTGATCCTATTTATGAAGCTGAAGCTGATCCTATTCATAAATATGAAGCTGATTCTGATAATGATAATGAAGTTACTTTTAATAGTAGAAGTGAAGATGATTATTATAAAGCAGAAGAAATTAATTATATTAATGATTGGACATAATTTTATAAATCTTGAAACTCAAAAGTAAAGTGTTATATATATTAAATAATGCAAGTTTTTTTTTAAATTTTTAATCAGTTTTTTAATGTAACTTTAATAAATTTATTTGGTTATGTTTGAAATTTAAGGTGAAAGCCTAAAGGTAAGTATGCTAAGTTTTTTATATATTTTTTTAATGTAACTTTATTAAATTTATTGATTATATTGTTGCATCTGAAATTTAAAGCTGAAGGTCAAAGGTTATATTAAAACAATAACGAAGCAATTGCAGTTTAAATACTGTAATATGAAATTCATGTTAAAAAATTTTCAAAAAATTAAAAAAAAAATGAAAAAATGGTAGATTATATAGCAAAAATGAATCAAACTTTTTTTTTTACTTGCATGTTAATCACAATTTTTTTTTTTACTTATATGTAAATTTTAATTTTCTTTATATATAAAATGTTAATTTGTAATTAGCATTACATAAATAAATAGAAAAATAGTTCAAATGTTGTTTAAATAGTTTATTAAAATCTATTGTAGTAAATTAGTAACAAATATTTTATTAATTGTATTTTCTTTTTTCAAACTTGTTAAACAAAATGCCTTCATAAAATTTTAGTATGTACTTAATCTTTATAATAGGGTTGCTAAAAATACAAGTCAAAATTTCTTTAACTAGATATTAAATACTGGTAGTTCTATTTATGCTGAAACATTAAGGCTGTTTGAATTTGAAACTTCATTTAACATTATTTCTTTATATTTGTCCAAGGGGGATGGGGAAAAATTAAACAAACATTAAAATTAAATGAGATTTAGTAGGTTTACATGAACCTAAAATAGGTTGTGCTCATTTTTGTTTGTTTAGCTTTCTGATCTGTCTCAAATTTTTCTGCAATACTCTAATTGTTTAATTTTTGAGAGGAACTTTGAAGGTGCGAGGAAAAATAACATTAAATGAAGTTTTAAATTTAAATGACCTAAGTTAAAATTCTTCTTTATTTAACTTGTTTATCTTTGAATTATTATTATATGTTAGTTTATATATCAGATACTATTGCTGAATTTCATTATATTCTGTGCATTTATATAACTAGGATCTCATTACTAATACCCAGGTCTTATTCAATTTTCTAAATCTTGATTCTATGATTAGTACCTGGGTCTTTTTAATAGGGGATATTATATTCAGAGAGTACTATAGTCAGTGGCGTACGGTACCTCTTCTTCTGACCAATTTTGTACTTCAGCTATTTGTACTCAACCTATATCTATGTTTTTGTCTGTTGCTTCTTCTTTGTTTTTTTTATTTGCTGCACCATCTGTATATATTGTATATTTGATTTTATTTCTTAATATATTTTTTTTTAAAATTTTTACTAGCTCTTGACTAATATTCTCCCTTACTTTTTGTTTCCTAATTAGTTCTATTTCTAGATCTTCTAATATTTTTAGTTCTATTAGCTTCTGTTCATTTTTCCTCAATTTCTCTGTTCTTGTATATTCTATTAATTGATTAGTAACTGTCTTAATTATATTATTATTTTTCTCTATTAGCATGTCTGAAACTGTATTTATATTGTTGTTGATTCTTATCCAATAATAACAGCTATTTTCTTTTGTTCTTTATCTCTTAAACACCTATTGCATTTGTTAATTTTTATTATTAAGTTACTTTCTATATTATGCATTTACCAATGTTCTATTAGTAGCTTCTTCTTTTTGACTATTTTTCCTATTTGCCTATTCTCTGTTGCACTATATATTATCCATTCTTTTTTCCTTCTATCAGTTAACAGAGTTCTTCACTTAATCTTCATTGCCTGCATGTTACATCTGCCTGTTTTGAATTGTTTCTTAACCTCTCTGCTTTTGATTTTATTAAGTACTTTTGTCTCTATCATTTTAAATCACTTTGCCTTTTTGCCTTTGCTTAACTGATTCTAGTAGGCTTTGAATTGCTGCTATATTATTAGTCTTTCTCTTTTTGTGTTGAGTAGTTGATTTAGATATATGAGTCCTATTTTACTTATTTTGGGTCTACTTTTTTTCCATAGTTATGGTTTTACTAGTTCAATTACTCTGAAACCATAGCCATTTGTTGTTCATAGTTTGCTTTTTGTGTTTATATTTATTCCTAACTCTCTTGCTTTAACTATCATCAAGCAGGCTAGATTGTTCTTCCAATATGACTTATCTTCTAACAATTTTTTTACTTTTCATATGTTTTTTATTAAACTTGCTCTTTGACAACTCTGCATTATTATTAGTTTTGTTAGCTGCCTTAGTTCATCTTTTCTGTTTAGTCTTGCTATTAAGCCTTTATTTGTTTTATTATTAGTTCTTGTTGCAGAGTTCTGCAACTACCAAGATCTTTATGTTCTATTATACAGTTTTCTAATGTTCTTAGTAAGCCACTTTTTTGTTTTACCATGCATATCATTAGTTGGTGTATTTCATTTATCTCTTTTTTCAATATCTTTGTTAATTGCAACATGTAGCTTAATTTTGGTATTATTATCATATTGTTTATATATGCTATTTGGCTCATTATCATTTTTTTATATTTAAGGTCTCTTATTGTCTGGCTTATTATCTCTTTTGCTTTCTTCTTTACTAAGACTTTTCACATTCTGTTGTTTAGCCAAATTCCTAATGAATATACTATTTTGTTTCTTGGCTCTTCTGTTATCTTGCTTCTTCCAAAATTTATTTTTTTTTCTTCTTTTTTAACTTTCCTGTTCATTATTATTAGTTTTGATTTCAATCTATTTATCTTAATATCATTCATTTTAAAGAAGTCTTCTGCCACCTTTAGGATCTCTAGAAGTTGTTCTTTGCTTTTTGCAATCCATGTTGTGTCATCTGCATATGTGATTGCTACTTGGTAATGGCTTGTAATATTGTTACAGTATATTCTTTTTTTAAACTCTTGTTCTACTGTATAGCCTAACCTTTTATTTTTTTGTATCTTTTCTAATAGTAGGTTATAGAAAAGGCACCATATTAGTAGTGTTCCTATGAACTTGAACTGAACTAAACTTTGGTTAAGTTTAGGTTCAGGTTCAGTTCAATACTGAACCTGAACTTGAACTTTTTCTAAAAAAAAGTTCAGTTCAGGTTCAGTATTAAACTTTTAATTCAAGTTCAGGTTTAGTTTAGGTTCATAAATTTTAAGTTCAGTTCAGGTTCAGGTTCAATAATCTGCAAAATTTGAAGTTCAGTTCAGATTCAGGTTCAATAATCTGCAAATTTTAAAGTTCAGTTTAGGTTCAATAAACTTGGTTCATAATCTAAACTAAACTAAAAACACTAATTTTGAATTTTTTCATCAAAAAATTTAAAATTAAGTATCTTTTCTTTAGAACTAAAAATTATAAAATAAATATATATCAATATGATGTATTTTTATATGTAGAACAAAGTTACTTAAAGAATAAAAATAGAATTAATTAGTAAAATTTTAAGAATTATAACAATTTTCATAATTTTATTAATAAAATTATAAAAAATATTATAATTCTTAAAATTTTATTAATTAATTTTATCTCTATTCTCTAAGTAAATTTGTTCTATATATAAAAAATATATATATAATATTGAACCTGAACATGTTCATAAACTTTGAACTGAACCTGAACTAAACTAAATTTTAAGTTCAGGTTTAGTTCAGATTCATAAATTTTAAGTTTAGTTCAGATTTATGTTCAATGATCTGCAAAATTTGAGGTTCAGTTCAGGTTTAATAAACTTGGTTCATGAATCTAAATTAAACTAAACTAAATCTAGAAACACTACAAATTAGTAGTAATATCACTTCACCTTAATCTATTTCATCTTCTGCTATTATTTCTTCTGTCAGACTATATGCTATAATTATTTTAAGCTGTCTTTTATGAAAAAGGTTTAAAATATATTTAATCATTATTTTGGGTATTTTGACTCTTTATAGAGCTAGCTCAAGACTTTTGAATAAAACTGAATCAAATGCCTTTTTCATATCTTACAGGAGTATCTATACCTCTTTATTCTTTTCTTTTGCTTCTTTTATTATCATGTTTAGAACATGTACTGGTTGTTCTGTTGAGTTTCCTGGTAGGCCTGCATACTTTGATCCTTTAAGTATTTCTCTCTTTGTAAATATTTTGCTGAGTCTTTTTATTATTAACTTAGTTACAACCTTTCTAAATATTTCAATTAGAGCTATTAGATGAATATTATTCAAACTGTATTTCTATTCTATGTCTTTTGGTATTGAATATACTTGTGCTATTTTCTATTTCATTAGTATCTCTTCTATTTCTAAGCACAAATTTGTATAGGCTCTAAAAACCTTTTGAGTTTTCCTTTCTGCTCATTTGATTAAGATATAAATTATTCTTGATATTTCTGGAGCTGTTTTTGTCTTGAGTTTGCTAATTATTCCATCCTATTTCTTTTTTTCAATTTTCTTTTTGATTTTCTTATACTATTCTTCTTTAATATAGTCTTGTAGTTTATAAATTTTTTTCTAGCTTTCTGACATCTCTTCTAATTTTGTATTTTTTTTTCTAAACTGCTTCTTGTAGCATTCTACTGTTGCTTCTTTAACCAGTTCTGCTTCTATTACTAGTCTAGTTTCTTTTATTTGTTCTATTATTCTGTCAAGTGTTACTTTCTTGTATAGCTTGTTTAAAAGACTAGCTATCTTTTTTTTTGATTAGTTTTAATCATTTCATATCTTTTGTTTATGTTATCTTCTATTTGTTTTCTTTGTTTTTGTTTCTATTCTTTCTTTTTTTTTTCTTGCAAGATTTTCTGCTAGCCTTTTATATCCTCTATCCAAGCATCAGACCATTGTTTTTGGATTTTTGGTAGTTTTGCACTAATTTTATTGCTAAGCATCTTGAGATTTCTATTTACTTCACTTTTATCTGCTTCTGTTACTTTCTGTCCTTTTTTTGTTTTTGCATACTTGACTAGTCTTTGAAGCTCTACAATGAATTTTCCTTGCTGTTGATCTTTTTGACTAT